AAAGTGCAACAGAGAAGATAATATAATTCCAGACGTCCAGTTGGAATAATCAACGAGGAAGAAAACAAGAAGGAGAAAGAGATATGAACGGAAAAAGTTATGTGTAAAATAATGTAAATGTAAAAGTCATAATAGTTGTCATAAAGTAGGTATGGGTCTTTTGTACAAAATATGACAAGTGTATGTGGTAGATAGTGTACATTATTAATATGTGCAAATAAGTCATAAAGCGGATAGTGGTAGACAAAATAAAAACTATTCATGAATAGTAGTCATGAATAGTAGTCATGAATAGTAGTAAATAGTAGTGGACATGTGTAAAAAATGTGTTAGGATAAGTATTTAGAATAGTAAATTTGTATGTCTATATATAGACTTAGTAGTAAACATTGTAGGAGGGAGCAATGCCTGAAAAATAAAAACTCTCCTTTCAAAAAACTCTCTTAAAGATACTAAAATACTTAAAAGTTAATGGATAAATATGAAATCCAGTCAGATATTTCAGATAGCATGGCTAAGCAAGAGGCAAATGTATATTGTTCAAAAAATATGCGGAACTAATTTCATATATTCCTGAATATCATATATATGATTGAATAAATTTATGTTAGTTATTATGTATTATAATTATTTGAATCATGATTTCTAGTTTATTAGCACACTGGAAACAGGGAGAAAACTTCTATACTATGCCATCCTAATGTTGAAACCGGTAGGCGAGGAAAGCCGTTTAGGGGAGTAAACAAAGTTGAGGCGCTGATAAGAAGAAAGTATCCACTAAAGTACGATGCTAGTAGTGACAGGAAAACATGATAAAGATAATCTAGTTTATAATGATCTAATATGAATTTAATCAATTATGAATATGATAGGAAGAAATAATTTGAAATAAAAAACCTGCATAATAAAGAACATGACTACATACATGCATGATGAAATGATAAAAAAACTACGAAACTTTAATCTTATGTACTTAAAAATATAGAAATAATCGAATTAAGAAGAATAATATGGGAAAAAATATTTAATGATTACGAATCAGAAGATTTATTAAATCAAGAATGGTATGAAATAGACCTACATGATTTAGATTTCGAAAGAATAGAATGGTATGATTTAGAAATAAATTCAAATTAAAATGAACTACGAATATTTACAATATTGGATAAAATCTATGGAAGATATAAAACTATTAGAACAATTAATGGAGGAATATTTATATATGTACCAAAGAACCGAAGATATGTTATATCTAGAATATATCATAAATAATATTAAAGAAATATTCAAATTAAAATAACTATCGGAAGAATATTACAATAAATATTATTGTTAAGTCTATTTTGCCTATGTTCTTCGTCTTGATGTTCTTCTTTATTTATTGTTTGTATATCTGCTTCAGTCATTTGTTATATTATAGAATTCATTTTCTATTTCTATGTCATTATCTATTTCATTTTCCGATAATTCATATATACTATCATTGCTTTCTAATTCATAATCTACGTATTCTATTTGTGTATATTTTTCATCGTCTATTATTATTTCTGATATTTGTTTTTTCTTTGGATTTTTAGGTAATTTACAATCTCTAGCTATATGTCCTAATTTTCCACAATTATAACAAGTACATTCCGTTAGTTTTCTTTTTAGTCTATATGGTCTTTTGGCTTTGTAATTTTTTACATAATACCTTCTTCTTGGTTTTTTATATTTATATTTTGATCTGTATTTTTTATTATATTTCTTTTTATTTTTATAATACCTATCCGTACAACCAAATTGAGGTGTTGTCTTATTTTTGCAACATGCCAAGTTTGTTACTAATATTTTTTCCATTTTTATTTCTTCTTTATGTTTTTCACATAGTTCCATAAACCATCGTTGTAAGAATTTTATTCTAGCTCCTAAGGTATCTGTTAATTCTGCTTCATTCCAACTTTTTATTACTTTTGAATTAAAAGGTTCTGGTAATTTTATAAAATATAATTTTCGTATTTCTTTACTTTCTTCTATGCTATATGTTCCTTTATAATAATATTCTCTAAATGCACATGTATATTCATCTATGTAACACATATTACGTATTGCTAATTTTGTCATTAGATTCCGATTTATGATTTTTTCTTTATTTTGTTCTTCTACTTCTGTTGTCATACTACTAAATTCATTTCTTATAGCTATTTCATATTTATATAATATTTCCATGGTTGTAGTGGCTATTCCACCATCAAATTTTTTATTATTTCTTAAAGTTGTTAAGCTTTCATTTGTTAAATTTTGTAGCCATAATTTTACTGTTCCTATAAGTGTTCTTTCTATGTATCCTGGTGTCTCTGCTATTACTATCTTGTTATCTATTAATTGTTTTGATATGTATCCTACCCATAATTGGATTGCTTTATTTATGTCTGCTACACAGTCTAAATCTAAAAATTCATGTTGTCCAGTTATTGGTTTAGGCGTCCATTTTTTATTTAATCTTTTATCCCATGTAGTTTTTTCTTTATCATATTGTTCATAATTTTCATTATAATATTTTGGATTAAAATTTTTTGGGTTTTTTACTCCTGATGTGCTAGGTTTTTCGTCCATGTCTACGTCTTCTGTATTTACTTCTAAATTCTTTGTATTATCTATGTTTGCTAAAAGTTCCGTATATGTTTCGCTTGTTTCCGAATGTTGTTGTAGATCATTATCGTTTATTTCATCAACTCTTATTTCGGGTAGATTATCTTGGTTATTTTCTTCTTTTTCTCCTAATTTATCTTGTAATTGCAATTTTTCTTTAAATTTAATTATCTCATTTGCTAATTTTGTTTTTTGTTCTTTTTCTTTTTGTTTAATTTCATATATTTCTTTTAATATTGCTAGCTCTTTTTCTAACTCTATTATTTTAGTATTTTTTACTTCTTCTAATTGTTCTTCCTTTTTTGCTTGTTGTTTTATTTTTTCAATTTCCGTTCTTCTATCTATTTCTTCATTTTCTTTTGTTATTCTTACCATAACAGTTAAACTATCTTCTAGTTTTACCGTTTCTTTTTTTAATATTAAACTTATATTGTCACCTATTTTCTTATATCTTCTTCCTAAATTAGAAAATATTATCTTTATTTTTAATCCGTCATAATTTTCATATGTTTTTTCATCTATTGCGTATTCTTCTTTATTCATTTATAAATTATGTTGTAGTTTATATTCTAAGTTATTTATTTGTATTTCTAGATATAAAATAGTTTTTCTTTGTGCTACTATAGATTTGTGACAAATTCCTGCGAATATATTATTGTTTAGTCTATTTTGCCTATGTTCTAATTCTTGTCGTTTTTCTATAATTATTTCATTAAGTTTTTGTCTATATTCGTTATTCTTGTTATTCATTGTATTTTTAAATATTGAATATATTTATATTCTATTTTAGATATATTATTTATTAATTGATCTAATTTTTCATTATCAGTCTTTGTGATATTAAGTTGTTTATATTCCGGATATAATTTATTTAATTTTCTTCTTATTTTTCTTAATTTTCTACTCGTATGTTTCTTACCGTGTTTTAATATTCTTCTGGTAGAGTCTAAGCTTATCATCCTAATTTTATCTCTATCCTTAGTTACTTGTTATTTCAGTAATTTTCTGCTTTAATTCAATAGTTGAAGTGTTGCTGTGATAATTTGACTGTCAAGGATTATATAATACTATTGATATTTGATGAAATTGACGCTTACACTCTGTTTGGATCATTGTTACTCATTGTTCATAATGTATTGTATTGTATTGTACTCTATTGTATTGTATTGTATGGTAGATACAATGGTTGGCTAGACTGTATTGTTTGTTGTTGTTTAATAACATTTTTATTGTTTGGTTTGATTGTATCGTATTGTATTGTAATTTATAAATTTACTGAAATATCCTTAATTATTCTAAGGTAGGAGGTTTGACTAGAATTAAATAATATAATGTAAAGAGTAAAATAGTATTATGAAATATTATGTAAAGATATAAATTGGAAAAATAAATTAAGTAACAATGGAAACACACCAAATTGGTTGTTCCATAAAATGGGGTTTTTCATTGTTACGTAACAACGGAATATAACAATACAATACAATAAATTTTAAGTAACAATCAAACAAACATTGTAGGGTATAGCAATGATACAATACAATGGGTAACCATGAGTGTTAGACTCGAAACAAAATAGCTATTGGAATCAAATGATGTATTTTTTTTTTTTATGTTGTTGACATTAAAATAATGAATTTATAGTGGAGTTTTTTTGTTTATTGTGATTTTAATGAAGCACGATATTTCTTAATATTAGCATTTGTCAATTTGTGAATAATTCAACCGGTAATAAGGCGCGTCATTTATAGCAATTCAAGATGTAAATTATTGGTGGTTTTAGTGGCTATTTTTATTGCCGCTAAATAAATGTCACTAAATTTGAGGCTATTTAGCGATAATAGTTGATATTTTTATCAACAATTTTTTGAATTGACATTAAGATGTATATTTATTGTCGCTAAAAGTCTTTGTTATTGCAGTGCTTTAATTTTTCTCTGTAGTATCATTCTTTGATACTATCTCACCACTTGCTAAGGACTAGAGTTTGCCTTGGAAAGTGAAAGTCACTAAATCAAATAATTTAATAAATTGGACAGAAATATCAGTAATGAATGACATACTAATTATATTTTCTTTTTCTTTTTAAAAAAAATAAGAATAAGAAGAAGAGAAGTTTCATTTTACAAATACAAGTGATAAAAAAAAGTACTAAATATTTTGACAACTAAAGGAACACATATGGCGGTGTACATTGATAAAAGAAACATTGGTACAAATATACATATATATATCCTTGAAACAAAATATAAAGAAAAAAAAGAAGAAGAAGAAACTAGAAATATTTCATTGATAATAATAACTATATATTAATAAACTTGTTCAAATAAAGGTTGGTTGACATAATCCTCTTGATCTTCTCCAATTATTATATATTGCTTGATACTTTTCACCACAAATAATAATTTCCCAACTATGAATTATCTCATCATTTGCAGAGTTTGGAGCATAACATTTGAATTTCAAATGTATTATTGGGATTTGTCAACATATAAGTCCCATTTTTATGATTTGATGTGCAAGTCATGTTCAATTGATTCCCAAGTTGGATGGTCTGTAACAAGAAATTAAGTTGCATAAAAAAGAACATAGAAATAAAAACAAATGCATATAATATCGTACGAAGCATAGAAAGTCTAGTTAAAAGTAGAAAATTAGATAACTCATAATGTGACGATTATTTTTATTATGATTTAACTATTTAATTAATCCGAATAAATTTGAATTATTTAAATCTTGAACAAACTTCTAATATTATAAGAGGCTATTCAAATATTTATACGATGATGACATTCTCGACACTCAATTCCACTAACAACTATCACTCACAAGTCACAACCAACATTGTCAGCCATCACAATCATTGACTACCATCGACCATTATCAACAATCATCAATATCAATAGTCAATGTCCCACCAATTACTAGTTCTTACTGCACCAATCACCTCTGTCATCACAATGATCACTATTGTCAACCACTATTGTTACTATAATCTTCGTCAATTATCACCATCAATCACTACAATCGATCACCTCTACCATCACAATCATCACTCACTACTATCATCGACCATCACAACTACCATCATCATGCAACAACCACCCACACTACCATCGTCAGTCATCACTCCATTATCGTACAACCACCACCACTACTTTTGCCTACCACCCGCCAACCATCACCTTACAACCTAATAATTTGTGGATATAATGTTTAAATTGTTTTATTTGAACTTTATATTTATTAATTTGTTATTAATAAAAATAAATTTCAAAGATTTAAATGTTGAGAAAACAAACAATTGTAATTATTTAGCGTTCAAATTTAAGTACAACACCTTAATATGTATATCATATTCAGACATTTTAATTTTAATAAAATTAAGCAAAGTGGAAGAAAGATTTTACCGCACAACGTGCTTCAGTACAACTCCATAGAGGGGTTGGGACACAACTTAAGTAATGGCACCATGAGCAATGTGCATTACCATCCCATCCATTTGTCAATAGAGCTAACCCAAGGATAAACCTACAAAACATCATGTCACTCAAAAAATAACTGTCGATAATTCTTCTACAAAAAATAACTGTCGATAATTCTTCATTTCATAGAAGTAAAATTTATAATCTAAAAAATAAGATAGGTTATCTGCTACAATAAAAGTAACTTGATACAACCAAGAATTGTGATGAGATAAATAAAAATCCTTCCATCCTTAACTAGAGATCCTGTAGGGGAGCCCTTCTCCCTCAAATCGGAGCCCAACATAGGTATCAGACATCGGACAAGAAACTGTTAGAGTGGGTAAAAGTACTTACCCAGTTAAGAGAAATGCTAATGAGAACATCAATAGTATGTATTGATAAATCTTGTACTTGGATTTTTTTGAAGCCACAAAATAGCCAGGAGGTGCTTTGTTTAGATTAACCCAACCAAATTGTGGACGAAGCAAAAGGACACAACCAAGAAGAAACCCAGTTACAAATCCTCCAAGATGTGCAAAATTGTCCACATGAGGAAGAATTCCAACAGCTAGATTTAATGCAATTATGAGAAGCAATGTAAGTAGTGTTGCCAACTGTTTTGATAAACAAAAAAAAATTAATTAGCTTAGTCAGAGGCTATGCCCACACATATTTTGATTTAGTCAGTGAGAAAAGCAAAAATAAATATTTAGAGGTTGTTCTCAGTCATTCAATGAGAATTTGATTCCCACCATGTGTTTTTCTATTGACATGATTTGGTAAGAATAAAGTAGAAAAATCATGTTTTATATATAACAAAAATTTCCTATTGATTCACGATGGGAAAGACTGTTGTTTCTACTAGTAATTGTATCTATGTTATATATTTTGACAATTATACCCTAATCCTCTACAAATTGTCATGTTTGCTCTTGACGTTAATCAAGTCCCAACGTGGATTGGGTAAAATTCACATATTAAAATATTTTGCGAAGAATGTCCAAAATACTCCTTTAATTACTTTTGACATTGGTTTAAAATTACACTGAATTTATTGAAGCTCCATTAGGGCCAAGGGCGAACATGTGACCTTTTGTCAATGACAAGGGTATAAACAATCTCAAAGTATAACAAAATGTAAAAATCAAGATAATTAGTATATTAAGAGGTCAAGATAGTGCAAAAAGTTCTTTACACTGTCAGTCTGTATAAATTTAAATCTCCATTATACAAAGAGTTTAATTAAACCATACCTTGTTTTCATATAATGTCCAATTTGTGATGAGTTCAGAAAGCATAGCTCCAAGTAAACCAAACAATGCACCAGAAGCACCAACTGAAATTTTTTTCCTCACAAATAGAGCTGATAATAAACTCCCTCCAACCCCAGCCAAAACATAAAGTGGACCAATTCTCACTACAAAAACATGTTTTAGTAGTTAGAAACAATGTTTCACAAGCAAGACACTACAATTATTTTAATATTATAAATTTAAGTTACATGCACGGACATCAAATAATATTGAAAAAAGAGACAAATATAGAGTAGACATATTTTTCGTCAAAACACTTGTGCATACATATACTTGTCGTCTAACAAATAGTACATAGTTATCCTTTTCATTAACATAACAATATTTTTCTTTTATCCCTCTAAACCCGACCCAAATGAAAAAAATCTCTAACCCTCTTCTATTTTAAACCACTAACTTAAACCAATAAATGTACATACTATGTAAATATTTGTTACACTATTAGGTAACTATTTACATCAAACATGATTTAGTAATTTAAAATAAAGTAATATAACTTGTTATAACCAAGTTCTTTTACATTATTACTCTCTTTGTTCAATTTGAAGGTGTTCGGAATATGAGGGTCAAAATATTTAAATTCATATATAGACTATGGGATCTTCAAATATTTTAAAGTAAAGTGTTAAATATTTTTGAAAACTACTACAAGTCAATATAAACTTATAAACAATTTTAAAGAAGATTGAGAAAATTATAGTCGACGAATAAAAAGTTGTTTTAACTTCCTAGGTAATAATAACACCTTCACGTAAATTGAGACTATAGTAATTATGACTTATTCAACTCACCACATAAAACTAGGACAATCATTTACTTACAAAATCCAAACTCTTGCTCAAGTCGAATGCCCACAAATAATAAGCTCAACATATTGGCAGCAACATGAAATACACCAGCATGTAGCCACATGCAAGAAAATAGCCTCCATATTTGTTTTCCTTCAACTACTTTATTCACATCAAGAGCACCCAATTTTTGTAACCTATAAGAATTTTCAAAAAAAAAAAATGATAACTAATCTCGAAATAAATTGTAATCATAATATAAAATATCGAATAAGTAGTTACGTTGTTGTGGAGGGACCAAGTAAAGGGTTCTCATGAACATCTTGAAATGCATAACGACCAAAGAAGTCGATACCAAAACAATTGTTACTATTACGAGGACAATCGTTAACGTACATAACAAAAATAAAAAGTACAATATTGACTATAATAATTATAGGGACTAGCCATGGGAGGCATTTTTTATAAGGTTGATAATTTGGTGGTGGGATCTGAGGAGGACGAGAATGTAGACGTTGGTCACGTTCCTCTGGGCCACTATTACGAGGTTGTACTTTTATTTCGAGGTCTGACTCCGACGAAGAATTTCCCGACGGAGTCTTCCTTCCCATGATAATATTTGCCTTCCTAAGATCGGAAGAACAAAAAGAGGGAGAAAACACAAAAAACGAAAGAAATGAGGGGTTATGGAATTTTTATGTGAAAAAGTCTATTGGTTGATGTAGCACTAATTGAGGGAGAGCATGTTGTAAGCCAAAAGAAGAATACAAAAGAGAAATGAGAAATGCTCAAGTTTAGTTACTAGTTAATTTGTCCGCGCATATCGCAATACAAATTAATAAGTTGCAAAAAAACAAATTTAAAAATATGTTAATCGTTATTATTTTTTTACAAGTTTTAATATACCTATGTATAGATAAACATAATATATAGTTGTCTGAATTTATAAATTCTTTGTCTAAAACATTTTTCCCATAAAAGATGGTGATATTTCTCTTGCACATAAAATATCCAATGAGTCTTACTATTCATGAAATTAATTAAACATGATTAATTAATACACTGATTTGTCAACACTCCTTTAGTCTTAAATTATAGACTTTCCATCAATGTATTTATTATATATAGACTGTTAGAGGTATGAGTCCATCACGAGTCAAGAGATCGGGTTCTTTGATAGAAACTAGTAATAGAAGGTTAAGGCCTCATTTGTTTGCACTTAATGGAGGTCTGAATCTTAATCATTCAGATTCAGTCCATTAAGTGCGTTTGATTTTTAGGTCTGAATCTGAATGATTCAAATTCAACTCATTAAGTCCATTTGTTTCTTTTTTTCAAAAAGTCTCTCTGAAAAGGTCTGAACGGATCAGATCGGCAGGAGAGTCTTAACACCAAATAATATTGTATCGTCTCTCTTGGTCTTTGCGTGACTTTTGCTCTCACAACTACAAACTTTCTTCCTCTCTTTTCTCAATCAAACACCAATTTTTTCCTCTTGAACTAAGAAGTATTTATAATCTTTACAAGTATTTTTTTTATATTAATAATTTTCTTAGGGTGTATTGATGTTTGTCAAGAACACTTGTTGCAATAATATTTTTAGTGTGTTGATGTTCATCAAGGTTCTTGAGTGCCAAAAAATACTATTCATAATTAAAAATAATAACTATGTATACATATTTGAGGTCTCTTATATTAGAATTTTGTCGTAGGCCAATAAATTTATTGAGACTCTTTGATCATCAAATCCGTTTGTGAGATAACACTAATATATTATTGTTGTTGAACTAGTTGGTGACAAAAATAATGGAGTTCTTAATAATTCTCCACCCCAATCTTCCGTTTCAGCTGGAAAAAAAATGTTTTGGGGAAGAAAAAAAACGTATTCGTCTAAATTGGATCCATCCCAATCTTCCGTTTCAGCTGGAAAAAAAAGTTTTGGGGAAGAAAAAAAACTTATTCGTCTGAATTGAAAATTGATGAGAAGATGATTACTGCTCTGGAGTTATTGATTAAAAAAAATAGTGCACCTACATTTGAAGAATATATGGAAAAATTAGACGGACTTGGATGGGAAGAGTCATTATATACTACATGTGTTAGTATATTTTGTGAAAGTGTCCACTACAAAAAAAGCATGAATGACGTTAGAAGTTCATAAGTTAGAGAATTGGATTAAGGTTATCGGAAAAAAGATAAGAATTCTTTAGTTTTTCTAATTAGCCAAAATATATGTTAGGCGTTGATAACGTGATACCTTATTTATTATTTTTCAACTAGTATTTATCATACTTATTTACCTTTTTGATATTATATTGTGCCTATAAAATACTTTTTATTCGTGATTTTTTTTATGTTATTCTTGATGATTATGATATTTTTTTTAATCAAAAAGTAATATTTTTTGTTGAAATGATTTTTTATAACATTTTATTAATATAATGTTTGATTTCATATGCACATTCAGTTATTGAAAACAAACAATAATCATTCAGTGTTCAAATTTGGAGACTGCATCTTAATATTCAAATGTGTATTCAGATCTTGACACCTAGCTCTTAATGCAAATCTTAATGTTCAGACGTGTATTCAGATTCAAAGGTCTTAATCTTAATGAAAACAAATGAGGCTTAAGTAAATGCTCGAAATAATGAACTCATGTGTTTACGTGGAAACTTCTTTACTCAAGGAAGAAAAAATCACGATTTGAGTTTCTCAAAGCTCCAATATCTTCCAGCAATTTGTAATTACAGACTCTCGAGTACTTACAAAGGATTACACTCATAATCCTATATACCTTGTAACTTATCTATTACAAGACACAAAGCAATGACTCTATTGTTATTTGCCCACTATATTAACTACCTCTAACTAATATTAAGATATATATCTTTTGAGAAAAATATTTATTTTAACAGGTGAGAGAATGGTGAAGGAAATATGATTTCGTCAAAAAGTGAAGGAAGTCATTTTTAGTTTTTAATGGTAAAATATTTCCCGTCAACTAAATATCAATTGGAAATTAAACATTTCGAGGTATTTTCTTGAGAAAATAGTCAAATGCTCGTCTAAGCTATTACCGAATTTCTTGTTGGGTATGTAGCAAGAGTTAATGGGAAATGGAAGGAAGATGAAAAGAGAGGAACTTGGAAAGTTGGGAACTTGAAAAGTCCTCTTATGCTTTAGTGAAAAGGCATTTCTCCCTCATCGGTGGTGGAAAGAAAAATATAAGAATTTAAATATAGAAACACTCCTATTAATTGTTAAAAGGGTTGGAAAGAGGGACTCACCGCGCCGTTGTCGTCGCTCGCTAGGCTTCGACATTGGAAATCGATCGAGAGATTATTTTTTGGACAAAGTTTATTTTAATTATTTATTTATTTAATTAATTAAATTAAATTAAATGGCCAAAATGCCAAAATGTTTCAATTAATTAGTTAATTAACCAAAAAGTTTTGATTATTCAGTTAATTGACCGACCCGATGTTGACACCCAATTTTGGACCTCCACAATATAGACTAATCATCGAGCTTCTTTAATTTCGAACGATTTCAAATAAATAGTCTTAGGAAATTTTTTTAAAAAAATAATAATAATAAAATATATATATATATATATATATATATATATGAATATATAATAAAATAAAATATTTTCAAATCATTTAAATAGTTTATCCCTTGTTGATAATTGTTAAAGAATATATGTGTTACGTATAATTGGTACCTTTATATATATATATATATATATATATATATAATAAAATAAAATACTTTCAAATCATTTTAAATAGTTTATCACTTGTTTATAATTGTTAAATAATATATGTGTTACGCATAATTGGTACCTTTTTATAAATATGTGAAAATGGTCTCAAAAAGATTTTAGTTTTACTTTAATACTTTATTAAACTAATTTTGTCTAAATTAGTAGTTTATATTTTTGAGTTATTAGTTCAGTAGGCTAATTAAATTCTATTTCGTTAAGATTAAGAAGCTCGCTAATTAATTTATATTAACTTGTCTTATATAAAATCTAGCCGAATTCTCTAAAATAACTCAATATGACTAAATTATAAATTCCAAGTTGGTTATAATTGTAATGCAATTGACCATTTCCTAACTACAATCTTAGCCGCATTTTGCCCCGATTTTGGACCAATTCTCAGCCAGAACTTGGTCCAAATCCTTCTCCAAACAATACAGCCCATTAATGCCTTCAATTTCCAGATTACACCAAAATCCCAGCCCACTTTTTTTTTCCCTTAACCCGTAACCCGACCCAAACCTTTTTTTTTTTCTTTCTCAACGTTAACAACAACAATTCCAAACTCTCACAGACGAAGCGTACAACAGCAGTACACAACAAAAGAAACCCAGAAACGCGTGTAGAAGGAGCAGCAAGAGCCAGCTGCGAAAATCGTCCTTGTGGCCGCGAGATCCTGCCACGTAGCACTCCAAGGACGAGTCAATCGATCGAGCTCGTCTATCTCTCCTTTCCTCTTCCGGCAATGGTCAAAATTTCAAAAAAAAGGGTGCCTCCCCTTTAATGGAAAAGATTTCGAGTTTGAATTGGAAATGGGCCTTGAACCCAATTTCTATCCGTTTTCCCTCCATTTTCCGAACCCTAGTTTCTTCTATATATTCCCCTTATTCATTGTAGAGGAGGGGGGATTTTTTTGAGTTGAAAAGCTTGGGCAGAGAACAGGGGAAAGAGTTTTGAGTTAGAGGAGTTTTTTTTTTAAAAGCAAAATATAAGAATAGCTTAAGAAGTAGTTTGAATACATATGAAATACACTCTGAAATAGAGAGTTTAACTCGTCTAAGAGCTTAGTTTGATTTTCCTTTTGGTGCTATCCATCGCTCCCTCACAAGTTCATTGTGAACTCGAGGTAGCTGCTCAGATTTTGCCCCAGTCCTTTGTCTGTTGTTTGTGGCCAAGTTCGCGTAGTGGTAAAGTGTCCTTGCTCGTCCCGTCCAAGTTCGCTGCTCCAAAGAAGGTACTCGTTCCTTTGCTCTTTCGCTTTCCCTTTGATTATTTCGAGTTAATAGTGATTGGGCTGCTATGTGGAATAGTAGAGTGTTGTTGGATTAGTTTCTTGACTTCGACATGAGCCCATTTTGTTTCGAAAATAGTCGATTCTCTGTTTTTGTTCTACTCGGAATAGTTTAAAATTTATTCGGGTTCCTACGTTGAGCTTACCTGTGGTGCAGCTTGAATCTTTTAGTTTTGTCTTGTGTGTAGTTTTTGGTTTTCAATTATTTCTCTGTTTGGTTCATAGATATAGACTTCTGCTAATAGTAGCTTAACATCATGCCATTGGTAAAATGTTGAACTCCTTTTTCTAGTACTTATTTATTTTACAAATCTAAATATCGTCCTTAGTCGTTCATTGTTTTACTTTCTCTCGACTTCAGAGCATGTTGTTGACATCAACTCGTTTGTTTTCCATGTCTTCACTGCCGAAGGTTCCCATTTCCCTCAGAACAAGCTTTGTTTTCTGACCATATGAGCTTAGCATAATATGGAGATAACGTGAATCTATGACTCCGCGTTCGATTTGTTTGCTTATATTGACTCGGTTTGAACAGTTTTGTATCCAGGCATTTTGTTTGTCATAGCTTCTGTAAAGAAATTTCCTGCTC